CAAAATCTAATATTTTTTAATTTTTGTGGACCCCTGTTAAACACCTCAATAATAAGTAAATGGTAATGTTGACAAGTGCTCAACAAGTGAAAACGTATGCAGGAATATATGTTTCATCATTTGAACTCATCAAAACAATTGCAGGATGAACAGGAGGAAACAGCTTAATTAAGGCTTATCTGAAAAATTCCTTTATCCCTATACATACAATGTACATTATTTGCCTGCATTATTTGTTTACATTTATGTTTCCAATACAGTATGTACAGCTTTTGCCTTTTCTTCCATTTTTTTAATAATCTTCAACTCGCTAACATTGCAAGACATCAATTTGCCAACACATATTTACACTTAAAACGTAAAACTCAAGATGATTTCTTAGTTTAGGCCTATACATACCGTTTGTTATTCTATATAGATTGCAGTGCTGTTTTGTGCCCCATGACGCATTGTTCTCATGGTTACGTGACTAAGAACTGCTGTAAGGTCTGTGAAGTAGGTAAGGACACTCCTACCTTTGGACTAATTGATGAATGGAATTTCGAGGAATCGCAGTTTCGAATATTTAGAGAATTATAACGAATAGATCACTGAGGATAGGTATGAATATATGTCAAGCCTGACGTGGAATATATTTGTTTAATTAACTATTGTTCACAGTAGGGAATTCAGTCCTGGTGTGCTACCATCCTGCTGCATGCCACCTGGTGTCCACAAAAAGTAAACAGTATAGTCGATGGCTGTTGAAACCGTTACTTCTTAGTATAATGAATATTTCAGGATGTGAGCAAATGATAATATCAAACGATTTAGTATATGTTTAATTTCAGATCCTTGCAAAGATGTGCGCTGTCAATTCAAGTTTTGTCTGTTTGGTAGAGTCGAGGTTCCGGGTCAATGCTGCCCTGCGTGTCGACGTACTTAGTATGTATAAAGCATATATAGTAATGGCATATCTGTGGTTATGTTATTTGTAGTAGAACCCCATATAACATCCAATATTCTTCCGGGAACGTGATAGATTTACAATATTTGATATTATCGTATGATCTGTAAAATCAAATCTGTAAATTCTGGTATGACCGTTGAAATGGTATGACATCTTTATTCCATTCATTTTTTATTGGATAATTGAAAATGGTTAAGGAATAAAAAACTCATATGCGCAGAGAAGTGGGTCATAGAAAAATGAATTTTGACACTTTTAGTTATTATTAGATCCAACAGTGCAGAGCATCGTGATCATCATTTTCATGTTTTATCATTTGAACATGATAAACACTTCTTTTCAACTTATATAGACCATTATGATTGTTTTATTTTGAAAGCCTGGCTGATTTAGAAAAAATTTAGGTAAAAAAAATACTGAAATGCAGTAAATATCTTATGCACCCTGAATGAAATCACGATGTAATCTGAAGCAATCTCAATAAATTAAAATGTTTAAGATTGCTATGGAATATGCACAAACAATGAAATAAACTTGTCGAAACTTGTATTCGATCTATTCAACCTGGTGTAGATAAAATTGTTGTGCAATATATAACGATGTATTTTGGTGATATTTTAAACTGTTACTGCTATTTTAATGGCGGGAAATTCAAATATTTGAAAAATAAAAGACTAGTTTAAGTCAAATGATTCTATGCATTAAGCACCAATAACGAAATACTAACATGCTAAACATTTGTGTTCTATCGTTATTTGTATCATACTTGTTTGTAATATTTCAAATTTTTAAGACCAACGATATTTGTAGGAGTATGCAAACATCCTTCCTTTCCTGAAAATATCTTAAAGAGAGAATCAGATCTAGCGAGCAAGCCAACAATTTTTTTTCAATTTAGAATAATATTTATCTGATTCTGCCTTTTTTGTGATTGATTTAATAAGAAATGTATTTCCTTTCAGTGGATAATGAGGACGGTGTATTGTATTGTTTAGAGTAACGTACAGATGTTAAATTGGAAACAGATGATTTCAGTCGAATTCTGCATTATGAATTACTATATTTTGAAAAGAATACATTTGATGGAATTACGGTTAAGCATGGACTTTTGTTACTTAGGTCGAATTCTGTATTAAACTCACCTTGCATTCACGAACTTTCGCCTAATGGCTACCGGGCTGATTGCAATGTGAAGGCAAACGTATTTAAATATCAATAGTAACTGTCGTATATTCCAGTAGCTGCAAGCTAAGGCGTCAATCCCAATCGCTGACCTAAATAACGGGTTAATCTTCCATTTTAGCAGCAAGTGTCAATGATCTACGATCTGTTCGCCAATTCAAGTAAGGGGCGTTATCAAAATTATTCGTAACAGTGGCATTAACTATCATTCGGTCACTGATCACCGTGTGTTGACTAACGGGTTGTTCCTTTAAATCAACTTCAAACTGACAGGTTGATTTATGAAAATTAATCGGTAAATCTAATCTGGTAGCCGAACCCCGAAAGTTGCATTCGCGAATACAAGCTCAGATTTTATTTACTGCATGGTTCATGTTTAATATATGCCATTAACATGAAATGCATTTACAGAATATAATATAATTCGAATTTTCAATGACATTATATAAAATTTCAATGGTATTCCATTTACATTGTATGATATTCACACACGGCATACATATTATTTACATGTAAATAATATGATGAATGTAATTTAATTTGGACCATCACTGTTGATTACAGCTTTTGTTATAAACCTACTTTTTTTCCATTGCCAAACATATTCATAAAATGAAATCAGATAATGGTAAAATGATTTTTTGTGAAAATGTTAAAGATAAAAATATGTATGTATTATTAGACATTATATAAAATTTCAATGGTATTCCATTTACATTGTATGATATTCACACACGGCATACATATTATTTACATCTAAATAATATGATGAATTTAATTTAATTTGGACCATCACTGTTGATTACAGCTTTTGTTATAAACCTAGCTTTTTTTCCATTGCCAAACATATTCATAAAATGAAATCAGATAATGGTAAAATGATTTTTTGTGAAAATGTTAAAGATAAAAATATGTATGTATGGCTATTTTTGGCTTGTCATGGTCATGATCTGTATTCTGCATGTGTCATGAAAAATTTCCAAATTTTCTCTGCTTGAGACATCACTGCTAAAAATACAGTATCTTTCATACCATACAATATGTACCCTTCAAATGGTCTCAACACATTTTTCATCAATTATAACAATTATGTAATTGTCTTTAGGAGAAGCAAGACATGTCTCCCTTGAATGATATAGCTTAACTTAGGTTTTCTCTTTTTCAAAACTGGCACAATATGTCTCAAAATCTGTCATTTCAGCCATGAATGACTGTCAAATAGAGCGCAGACTGATTGTTCAGTTGGGGGAGAAAAAGTTCAGGAAACCCTTGCGTTGAGTAAAGAAACTGGAACATTTTCCCATTGATTGTAACTTTTTTTTAGTCATGTATTATCTTCAAAACTTTAGAAAATTGAAAAACAATTCATTGTCAACAGCTTCTGCAAATATGAAATATACAAACTTAACATTAAATTACTGAACATGTCCTCCACCCACCTGATCAATCTGTATGACCCACATGTGAAAGTCATCCTTGGCTTGAATGAAAGGTTTGCGACATATTGTGCCAGTTTTGAAAAAAAGCTGAGGTCAATTAAGCTATATTATCTAAGGGAGTCATGTCTAGCTTCTCCTAGAGATAGCTACATAATGTAATTATAGCTGATGGAAATTGTGTTGAGACCATTTAAAGGGCATATATAGTATGCTATAAGATACTGTATTTCCAGTAATTATGTCTCAAGCAGAGAACATTTGATAATTTTTCATGACTTACACAGAATACAGATCATGACCATGACAAGCCAAAACAATCATACATACATATTTTTATCATAAACATTTTCACAAATAATCATTTATCATTATCTGAATTTTATTTTTATTGGCCCACCCTGTATGTCTTACATTTTACCAAATATGAGATTAATCTGTAAAAAGTAACTTGTGCCACGTCTAGTTTAGTGTAAATGAGAATATCTGATTAGTTATAAAAAACCTTTATTACATTATAATACCAATCTAAAGAACATGTTAAAGACTGAACATTTTGGAAAACATTTGTTACTTTAAAGAAGATACTTTTAAACAGGTATGTTTCATCCATATTAAAAAGCATATCATTTGTTGAGCAAGTTTACTTATTGTTAATGTTTGAACTAAAACACAAAACAAATTAAAACTATAACTTCTGTAATAACATTGCAAGGATAAACAATAATAAATAAATAATAAAAATAGCTAGGGTAATAGACACAATAAATAATGCTTTATAACAAAACACATGCAACGAGGCATAACATAATGTAATGCGATACTAAAAAATATTGTACGATAATCATTTAAGGATGTAAGCTCTGGACTCGGTGCAGTGTGGAATGACCATTCCTTGAAGGTGTTGCTTTCCAAAATTTGCACGTGATGCGCGGCATCGAGTGTTAATTATTTGAAACAACGCCTGAAAGGAATGGTTATTCCACAATTCATTGAGTCGTTTGAGGTATTTTCACACGTTGCAATATATTCCCTACCATATCACCTAAAAGATATGAAATCACTAAAAACATTCCTAATGAATTTTTGCAAGGCTCAAGTTGGTAAAATATCAATTTTAATATATAAAGTCAAGCTATCACCTTGACAACCACATAAAGAGTGACCTTGGATGCGGTTATTAGTTATATAAAGCACTGCAGTAATATGAAATACTTTGTTCGGATTGGTTGGAATCGGACACACCTTGCCAGGCTATGTGTGGATTTGTAATAAACAAATGCTAATTGTAACGACTGAGTTAGAGAAATGTAGAATTAAATTGAGCATAATATTGTTTTTTTTATATTTTGAATTATTACGTATTAAAACTGAATTTACATTGAAGTTATTAAACAATTGCGAATATCATTGAACACAGCACTCCAGCTATGAAAACTCATAATGCCAAAATGATGACAAGCTTAACGTTTAAACGCGCTGTGTTGACTGGAATTACATTCATAAGCCTTTCAGAATTCTATTTAACTATAGTTGGAGCAGCAATAACTGAAAGTGCGTTCAACCGACTTGTGAAAAGGGTTAACAAACTCTCAAATGCTGTTGTAGAACAACAAAACGATCTTAAGGACCAGGCTTCTGAAATAGCTAATTTGGAGAGAAACGCCATCAAGCAGAAAATACTAATTGAAAAATTGAACAAAATTTGTAATGAAAAATGTAGAGTTGTTGAAGGTCAGAAGGGAGAAAGGGGTTTCCGAGGAAAGCGTGGATATCCAGGGAAAACAGGGCTCAATGGAAACGCAGGTGTTAATGGTACACAAGGGCCTATTGGATTTCCCGGGGTAAAAGGTGATCAAGGTGATCGAGGGTCTACAGGAGCAATAGGTCCACCGGGGCAAAAGGGTGCAAAAGGTGATCGAGGGCCTACTGGGCCAAAAGGTGACCTAGGGTATACAGGAGCAACAGGTCTACCGGGGCAAAAAGGTACAAAAAGTGATCGAGGGTCTACAGGAGCAACAGGTCCACCGGGGCAAAAGGGTGCAAAGGGTGACCGAGGGTCTACTGGGCCAAAAGGTGACAAAGGGTCTACAGGAGCAATAGGTTTACCGGGGCAAACAGGTACAAAAGGTGATCGAGGGTCTACAGGAGCAATAGGTCCACCGGGGCAAAAGGGTGCAAAAGGTGATCGAGGGCCTACTGGGCCAAAAGGTGACCAAGGGTCTACAGGAGCAACAGGTCTACCGGGGCAAAAAGGTACAAAAGGTGATCGAGGGTCTACAGGAGCAACAGGTCCATCGGGGCAAAAGGGTGCAAAAGGTGATCGAGGGCCTACTGGGCCAAAGGGTGACCAAGGGTCTACAGGAGCAACAAGTCTACCGGGGCAAAATGGTGCAAAAGGTGATCGAGGGCCTTCTGGGCCTAAAGGTGACCAAGGGTCTACAGGAGCAACAGGTCCACAAGGGCAAAAAGGTCAAAAGGGTGAAAAAGGAAACTTCGATGATAGTAAGTATTTGTTAATTAATTGTGTCAATCGTTTCATGATTTAATATTACTCGTATTTGAATATCAGTCGTGTTGGAAATGCAATATATCCGTAAAATGATTTGTCTGAAAACAGCCACTTGTTCGCCAAACTGGTAAAATGATCACAATATTGCACAATTTGATAATATAATGATGGAACTATATTGAACATTTGACAGGTTGCCAATGGACAGTTTGGTCGGCGTGGAGTGTTGGTCCTTGTAGTAAACAATGTGATGGAGGGACACGTCGGGATACAAGAACTAGACAATACACTCTTTGTGCATCTGGTACAGTTACGGAATCAAGGACCACTCCGTGTAACACACATAAATGTAAGCACAAAGTATTATACGTTTTCAAAATAGAGCTCCTAAACACCTCAACCGGCACTTTTAATTGACGTGATGTCTGTCATAATGACTGATAAATATAGTCTTTAATTCTTCGGGCCATGGCAAACCACCTATTTTTAAACGTTTGTCAAAGTCAATGACTTTAAAGAGACATAGCCATTGCAGGGCGCACAGACTAGTAACGGCGTACAATGTACGAGCGAAGCGCGGGTGCCGTGCGTTCGTTGTGAGCACGAACGGCACAGGGCATCCCAATGGCATGGTAGGGTATAAAGTTCGTAATGAATTAGAATGAATGTAGGCGGTTCTATGTTTGGTATATTAACGAAGACGCAATTCACATATCGTGAAATAGTCAGAAATAGATACTCAAATGCTAATTTTAAATGAAATTTTACTAATGATTTTCAAAACACCAAACTGAAATGCCCGCGAAAAATATTGCATCAAAATGCTGAACGATATGGTCCTAAAATACAAAACTAATTCAATTTTTCTGCTAAATTCGCTGAGGTGTACCACAAGTTGTTCCGAAATAAGTATTAACTTAGGTGATATGTTTTCTCCGCCGCAAAATTGAAGTTGATAAATTGTATAGGTAGATCATGAAACCAAACCGAAAATAATTAGTCCTCATCCGGGTACTGTTCCATCATCCAGATTCTCAAACTGAAACATGGCGCAAGAAACCTTTCAAATCTTCGATTTGGGTTTCTCGCAAAAAATGTTCACTATAGTTGCTATCACTGTGAATGGATGCAGGTTGTACGTACATATACAGGGTGTTAAAAAAAAACGCAACCCAAAGAAATCGCAATATCTTGAAAAATACTGGTTCAATTATGTTCATATTTTCAGGAAATAAAGAAGAGACTGTGTATGTATAGCTCCTGTAAATGGTTAGTTGTAAAACATGATGCCTTGGACACCTGCTCAAAAGACAGTTGTTCTAGGAAAATACGAAAAACGCAGTAAGGGGTGACTGCAACCTCAAAAAAATTAAATAACTTTCTAACCATAGTGTTTTGGCTCTTCAAATTTGGCACAAATCAACTTCATTTGTATGATAAATCTGTAAAGTGAAATCAAAATCACTTCAGGGACTTCACAGTTATGGTTGAAATGCTTTCAAATCGCAGTCAAACGCCCTGGTTCAGGGAGACTTAAGAAGGCATTTTGACCATGACTGTAAAGTATTTGTATGTCATATTTTGATGAAACTCCACAAATTCACCACACATTGAATGAGGATAAGTTATGCCAAATCTGAAGTGCCAAAACACCATGGTTAGAAAGTTATTTGGTTTTATTGGTGTGGTAGTCACCTGTGACTGCGTTTTCATGTTTTCCTAGAACAACTGTCATTTGAGCAGGTGTCCAAGGCATCATGTTTTACAACTTACTGACAACAGGAGCTATACATACACAGTCTCTTCTTTCTTTTCCTGAAAAAATGAACATTATTGAATTAGTATTTTCGAAGATATAGTGATTTTCCATTCGCGTTTTTCGTATTTTGCTAGTAAAACTGTCTTTTGAGCAAGTGTCCAAGACATCATGTTTTACAACTAACTAACAACAGGGGCTATACATACACAGTCTCCTCTTTCTTTCCTGAAAATATGAACGTAATTGGATGAGTATTTTCCAAGATATAGCGATTTCCTTGGGTTGCGTTTTTTTTGAACACCCTGTACAATGATGAGTGCAAGGTGCTTCATAATGAAATTATTTCACAAAGAAACGTTTGTCTTTTTTTTTCATGGATTACCAGTTTATACCAGTTTGTACCAGTTTATATGAAAGCTTTAACTATAAAATAGAAGTGATTTATTTTATAGGTTGTCATTGGAGCAAGTGGAGTTCATGGCAATATAGACCATGTTCCACAACATGTGGGACTGGAACGAATTTCAGAAGTAGAACACGGTCGAAGCTCCCGGGAGGTTCAGGATGCCCGGGTGTTTCTATTGAAACGGGATGTGTGACCTGTTACAGTCGTTGTGGTAAGACAAATAGTATTTCAAAAAGCGAGAAAAAGTAATATCAAAGTATAGAATTATCCGGAAAAGTAACTCCAGATGTCCAAAAATATAATTTTTCGCTCAAATATCCAGACAATTTAGTGATTTTAACTAACGTCGAAGACGGAATTAAAAAGTTTCAGTACTCTTGCAATTGATAGCAACCCAGAAACAGTAATCAAAATACTAATACAAACACTCCGTCTTAAATAATTGATGGAGCAGAAAAACAGTTTTATGTTTAACCCTTATGTCTGCAAGGGGGGGGGGGTCAAATCGACATATACTTTCGCTAGTTTTTGTGCCTCTATAATCTCCTAGCTCGAGTCACAGATAAATGACATTTTTTGGCATGAAAATCAAGGTTATTTTGGGCAGACGAGCAAAGTTATGATAGTCGGAAGTTGATGACAATAAAGTAAAATATTGTATTACAAAGTGATCATAATTGATGTGATTAATAAATAATTATTTAGCACATTTGAATTTTATTCTTATTATGCTTCATTTCAGGGAAATCGAGCCACTATTCTAACCTATCCTCATTTTTATTCCCCTTTGCACGATTTTTCAATTTCACTAATTCGATGTATCGTTGCTAGGTGGTTGCTAGGGACAATTGTTGACCGAAATTATATATATGGAAATAATACCAAGTAAAGTATTCATCTGTTTCTAACTAAATCACTGATTGGAATGTGTTGTACATCTTGAAATATGAATGCTAGATACAAAAACAAGTTGATCTAATGGGATTTCGCGATACATTGCTATTTTTGAAAGTGCATAAATTCAGTTATAGAAATGTTTTTCGTTTGAAAAATAACATATTAATTTTTAATGAGGGGTAGCACTTTTTGGAACTAAAACATTTCATTTTGAAATAAAATTGACAATTTATCACATAATGTCAAAAATGTTTACCCCCTAGGTCAGGTTGAAATAGATTTAACCTTTTT